TCTTACTGCAACTTGATATGCCATGTTTTGTTGATATCCATGGGAGACCTGCCCTTTTCTAAACAGAAGTGGAGGAGGAGTGGATGGGAGGGAGGTGAAACTGTGGCCAGGATGTAGAACAAACAAACAAACAAATAAATAAATAAATAAATTTAGGCTTGGTGCTGCACAGTGGCACGTGCCTACAATTTTAGCTCTTTGGATGCTGAAGCAGGAGGATCCTGAATTCATGGCTAGCCTAGGCTACACAGTAAGTTCCATTCTTGCCTCTAAAACTAAACCTAAACTGTCAGGGCAAGAAGCACCCACAAGAAAAATGCTTCTGGTAGAGCAGCAGATGCTACAAATTTGAGCTGTCATTAGCAGTGGTACAGGGAGCAACCACCACCATCAGCATCAGCACCAGCACCAGCACCACCAGCACCACCATAGCATCAGCACGAGCACCAGCACCAGCACCACCATAGCATCAGCACCAGCAGCACCACCACCAGCACCACCATAGCATCAGCACCAGCACCAGCACCACCACCACCATAGCATCAGCACCAGCAGCACCACCACTACCAGCAGCATCAAAATCACAGTTGAGTAATTTGGGTGACATTTCATTTGTTTAAACACAGGTGTAAAAGATTGGCATTTCTGGAATGCCTCTTTTTTTTTTTTTTTTTTTTTTTAAGGAAAGGGGGTTAAAGCAGAGAGGCTGTATAGCTGTCCAAGCTGGCATTCACACTGGCTGTAGAGCCTGCTTCCAAGCCAAAACTTGGTTCTGACTAGAAACACTGTATCATACATACATGTTCACCTGGCAAGGATGGCCTAAATTTTCAACTTAAGCTGTTTTGTTGAATGTTTTCCTGTAAAGAAACTAAACTGAACGGAGGCATGGAACTTAGAGGAATAGCTCAGAATTTCTGATGACAGAATGAGGATTTAAAAATATCTCAATAGACCCAGATGAGGAGTTAAAAATAATACTACATTCAATGGGTGAATGTGAGATATTGAATCTATGTTTAAAAGTTACCACAAAGTGCAAAGAGAAAGATGCTTTTACCTTTGTTTCCCCTAAAACCTCCCCTACCCTCTCCAGCGAATCAGCGGCCTGGCATCACAACTTTACCTCTTCAATACCTCCCGGACTGCCCCTTCTTGTTTTCCTCACCTCATGCCTAACAAGCACTCTTCTACTGCTCTTCCTTCTCTCTCTCCAATCCATCTAAACCCCAAAGCGGAAGAGTCTCCTCAGAGCACCTCTCTGCACCTGGCCCTCCCCTCGCACCTTCATTGGCTCCTTACTGCCTATGTTTAAAACAGGAGTCCAGAGCCTGCATTCGAGAGCCCCCAATGTCACCCCCACTCATTCACCTGTTCCTCCTTTTCTATACCTCCTAACCTTCCGAAGGTTGCCACAGTTACAGCCTACCCTTCCTAAGCCTCTCTCTCTCAACCGTCCTCACTCCTCATCAAACCAGTTCACGGCTTTCTCCAATCCTCTCCTGCTCTCATTAGTAATGTATTCCTAGGGCATGGCCCTTCTCTGCTTTACTCTATTCCCTCCCACAACTTGATGCTGTGGGCATATACGTTCTGTTTCTTTGTCACATATTCTTGCACTCCTTTCCCTGGACTCGATGGGCTCCTTGAAGGTAGAGTCTGTGACTGGTTAATGCTACACACACGGGGGAGGGGAGTGTCTTGGTGGATGCTCAGTGAAGTTCTATCCAATGCAATGACAGGATACAAGAAGAACTGGGTTTAGCCTTGGCTCCTAAAGGAGGCATGTGATAATGCTGTTCTATTATGCAGAGCACACCTGGAAAACCAGTCCAGGCTGGGCAGAGTCCTTTTTAAGATATATGCTGGGCAGAGTCCTTTTTAAGATATATGCTATCAGGCTAATGACAATGGAGGAAGATGACTGGGATAATGTCTAGTCTAGGGGAGAAAACAACATTAAAACAAAAAAAAAACCCACAATGATTGACAATAACTATCTTCACAAATGTGCAAGATTTTCATACATAAGGAATTAAAAATACTTTCCCTCTAATAAAAAGGAGTGGACTTTGAGTATGTGTTCTCAGAAGGAATTGTGGGACCCTGGTTTCATGACGTTTCTCTGCTTCTTGGTTCATGATGCAAGTTGTTGGCTTCACTGGGCACTTCTGCCTTGATATAAAACCCTTTGTCAGAGGCTCACAGCAATGAGACCATGCTATCTTGGACTAGAACAGCCGGATGGGAGCCATTCACTCTGTAGGCTAATGGTCCAAATTACTTCATCATAGTAACACAAGCCTGACTAACACACAATGGCTTCCAATCACTTTACACGTAGAGAGGAAGTGACGAGTGAGGTGCCAAGCTCTAGGAACTTAAAACTTTTCTGTCAAAATAATTAAAGCAACAACACTTAACAATGCCTATCAGTAGAATTTAGATTCAAGAGCCAACTAATTTATTATAGTTTAATTATAAGTAATATTCATCACCATTATTATTGGTGAGAAATTAGTTATATATATCAAAAAATGTTTAAATTTAATGGTAGTTCCATATAAACATAAAGTAAAACACAGTGTTATTAAAGTCTAATTTTAAAATGTTTTCACTGCTTAAAATTGAAGTCTCAATATTTAAAATATATTTAAATTCTCATTTGGTAGGTGACACACTGGTACAACCATTTAGGAATTTATTTTAAAATACCTGAGAATAGAACACTCATGGAATGACCAGAAGTTCCAATTTCAAACAAATACATTAGATCAGTGGATTGAGGAATTTGTATACCCACTAAAAGAATTTGTAAAAACTACAGTCTCCTCTCTGCATATTAAAGCTGACATACAGTTGTTTTGGGTGTGAATTTAAGTACTTGCAAAACTCATGACTTTTGACATATCATAAATACATTTGTTAAAAAAAAATCACTATTTTAAATGCTCCCAAAGGCTAGGAACAGAAATATCACATGTTCTCTTTCAGATGCAGAATCTTTAGAATTCAAATCCTAAGAAGTAGAGATTTAAAAAAGTGGGTATTTGGGTTTTGTGTGGGGTAGGAAAAGGGGTTATTGGGTCAAAGACACAATCTCCATTAAATATATGTATTTAAAAGTTGACCAGATGTGATGGCTCGTGCCTTTAATCCTAGCATTCTGGACACAGAAGCAGGCAGATCTCTGAGTTAGAGGCCAGAGTGATTCCTGGACAGCCAGACTACACAGAGAAACTCTGTCTTCAAATACAAAACCAAAACAAACCAACCCGCCTCCCCGCAAAAAATTCCTCAGTAGATTTTAAATGTTCATATCACACACATTAAAAAAAACCTATATGAGTTAATAGTTGTATCATAGATTGATTTAATCATTACAATTTAAACAATGAAACATCTCACTGTCTCCTAATTAGATTCAATTATTACTTTTCAAGTAAAAATAAAAAATGTACTTCATGGATCTCAATCTCACAGGGATTTGAATTCTTCCCCTGTATATTTATAATATATAATAAATTCTCTTCTTATGGACCCTTTCTCTTTTTTTCTTTGGGTACCAGTTGTATTTTATTTCTTCACTAAATTTTATTGTAATGGAGTACATTTTTAGCTTGAAGCATTTGCTTATTATGTTGTAATTTTTGGCAAAGCAAATTTGTATAAACTCATTTTAAAATAGGAATTTATGTTTTCTGTTACCAGAAGAGTAAATTTTAATATTTCTGAATTATCATGATAATTATTTAGTCTCTAACTGAATATAAAATATTACTACTGTATGACTTTAACCTAATATGTTGACAGTTTGATGAATACAAAAAGTAAATATTGTAGGGTTTTTAAAAATTTAAGTGAGCTATGAGACAATGGATAAATAATACTTCCTGTTGGAATGAGGGAGGTTTGCATTTATGTGTATTATATCACTCTTTCAGATTCCTTTTTTTCAACTTTGCTTCCTGACTCACATGACTCTTGGAACATTTAAATGTCAAAGTCTTGTCTTCTCAGACCCTCTGTTGGTTGGTATCAGTCTTCCTAGGAAACATTATCTCCTACTACTTCCCACTTAGGCAATCCTATTGTCCCCTCCAAATACAAGGCCATTATGTTAGTGTCCTCTCCTTTACTGCAATGCCTTTATGATTCTCTCCACTTCCATGAATGTCATCTGTCTAGCACATCACCTTCTGCAAAATCATTCCTGTCTGTAATCACGTTTTCTCTGTGTTTTCACACAGATTATGATTATGCACTGTACTGTACCTTTCTATCCTTAATTATATATCACATATAATTTAGTATTTTATTATACATTCTCTTTTTCTGTAATTGTTTCAAGTCTTGTCAACCAGGCCATAATTTGTTCCTATTATTAGTTTTCTACATGGAATGCTACGATCTATGAGCACTGGATAATTTGATAAACTATGAAAAAAGGATTCTGAGGTCTAACTAACAGGTTTTAAGTTTATAACACTATTTTTCTCCCTTCAACTGATGTTGAAAACAGGCCTAAATGTCCTTTTCTGACAGTAGGAGGGCTTCAGATCAATGTCAGTGGGATGTACTAGTAAGAATGAGAAATACTTTATATACTAGAATATTAGGAGTTTTAAATCACTCTATTATTAGGATCTTTTCACTCACCAAGTGGACTAATCAAGACCTGAAGTTTCCTTGAGAAGCCACACTCGTAGTTCTAGGTTTCTATGAAAACCAGGGCTGACCCACGAGCTGAGCCATTATAACCATCTTAAATGTCTCTGCCATTTGTTCCTTTCATTCCCTTTGTCTGTGTGACTGTGCAAGAACCTAAGAGACTGTCTCTATGGTACTCCTTCCTGTCAGGCCCTCTGACAAACTCAGGGAAGTAGGCGAAGAAGGCAGTGTGGCCAGCAGTACCAGGCTCCAGAGTCAGCATCCCCAGAGCTGTACCCCGAGTCATCATCCCCAGAGCTGTACCCTGAGTCAGCATCCCCGAGCTGTACCTGTAGGCTGTGGAGCAGGTGTCCTTGTACTCCTGGAGCTTCACACACACCATGTTGAGGAACTGATCTGAATATGCACTCAAGTCATGCATCAGGTTCATGAGGTCTTGCACCGTCTTCTCCACAATGATCGTGCTCTAGAAATGAACAAAAAAGAGAGGACACAGAAACTCATGAGATTTCTTTTAGAAATAATGCACAGGACAAACAAGAACAACTGAAAGGATGTGACCACTTAAGGCACTTGAGCTTCCTGTAGGATGTGTCACTTAAAAATACGAATTAAAATTAACAACCAAATAAATATCTCACACAATGCTAGCCTGTCAAAGACCTGAAAGGTCTGTTCCTAGGGTTGACACACGATAGGGATTTTCAAAAGGTTTTGTAGACTTCATGGAATCTACCAGATATCTTTGTATCTGTTTTTTATTTTTCAAAATGATGCTGTTGGGTGGAAACCAGGACTTTGCACTCTATCCCTGAGCTACATCCCCATTCCTTGCTGGTTTGTTTGTTTTGTTTTGCTTTTGTTTTTTGAGACAGGGTTTCTCTGTATAGCCTTGGCTGTTCTGGAACTCCCTCTGTGGACCAGGCTGGCCTTGAACTCACAGAGATCTACTTCCCTCTGCCTCCTGAGTGCTGGGATTAAAGGCGTGCACCACCACTGCCTGGCCTCCTCGCTGTTTTGGAGACTGGGTTTTGCTATTTTAGCTCAGGTAGGCTTAAATTCCTGATCCTCATGCCTTCATTTCCCAAGGGCTGGGATTACAGGCTTCCACCATCACTACTGGAATCTCTGTGGGTTTTAAGAAAGAGCATTCATAGTCAATGGAAGCCTCATTTATCAGCTCCAGGGCTCTACTTAGGGAGTAAAAGCCCACTACAGGCAGCACAAAGAAAAAGGCTGCCATTATTTGTTCTAAATTTAGAAACTATCACTGTATTAAGAACAAGGGACATTCGGGTTGTATCTTACAGCTGCAGGGTGTTTGTAGCGTGGTTTGAATCACTTGGAAGTCATATAATCATTGTGATTATCAGGATGTTTACAGGGGTCTTACAAGCACAAGGCCCAGCACTAGGCCTCCACTTGCTTTAGCTTATTTAACCCTTTCAGTACCCTATAATTACTGTCAGTGAAAACAGTAGTAAACAGGCTGAGAAAGAGGAAACAGGAAAGCAAGGGCTCCAGGCTCTGCTTGTGTTTCTGTCCCTTTCTGATTTAACACTGGCCCTCAGTTCTGTCCACAGCCCATTATTTTTTTCACAAGTTCACTGTGTTTCACATTTATTTCTGTTACTATAACAACCAAAGGGATAACCAGCTTCCCAAGAGAAAGGCTACCTGGCTCACAGTTTGGAGGTTTCAATCCTTAACTTATTGGCTGGATTGTTTTGGGCCTATGCTGAGGCAGCACACTAAACTGCTCACGGCATGGCTGGAGCCTAAGAGAATGAATGGTGCTGGACTCTACAGTCTCCCCCAAGGACACACCCCTGTTGGCCTGAAGACTGTCTATGATACCCCACTCTTGGAGCTTTGGCAGCCTTCCAACAGCTCTTCTCAGGGAATAAGCCTTTAACACATGGGTTCTTGAGGACAAGTCCAGAGCCAAATGATGTCATTATTGTCAGCACCATTGAAGAAGGGCTCACATAGACTAAGACTTTAAAATTGAACCAAAGAACTTCCAAAGAGAAAAAAAATAAGACCATCTTAAAGCTAGGGTATTATTACTAGCAAATTAGTGGTACTCCTGAAAAAGGGAATGTTCAATAAACTCTGAATCTTTGGTTAAAAAAGACTGAGTTGTTTAAACCACTATTTCATGTCTCTTGTAAAAAGAGCAGAATTACACTGAAGTAAATATTAATCATATGCTTAGCAGTCTGGAATCCTTTGGTCAATAAAGAGTGTGTTATATATTTATTTAAATAAAATTACACAGGTTACAGCAGACTTAGCCATAAAGGGAATATGAAAAAAATGTTTTTTCCAGTATCACAGTGACCTAGGAAGGAATCAAAGGCATTTTACTGTGCTTAAAGATACACAATGGGGTCAGGGTTTTAGATAATTTTTTCCCCAAAATAAAAAGAATAGATAAAAGTACATACAAAGGAGCATTAGCCTGGATTATGAGGTACAGTTGTATGCTCATTTCAGACGATTTGGTAGTACAGGCTTCTGCCTACTATGCCTTCTCCTCCCCTCCCCTCTCCTACTGAAATAATTAGAAGGAAAGAAGAAAGGAGCATCATATTATGTAAGGCAAACCTCATAGGAAACCAAATTACAGCCTCTATAGAATCCTCCCAAGTTCAACTTCCTTTTCTGTATTGATTTTGAGATTAAAGCACTGCAGCTTCACCCTGATCTATAATCCCATTCCTCTGTATTTGTGTGACTGACAGGAATTGATTCTGCCTAGCTACATGTCCCCACGTTAAGCATCTAAAATCCTCATCCCAATTCAGAACACAGTATCCTACAAAATGTGGACAGCAATTAATAAAGCAGAGGAGCTCAGCAATCCTCACAAAGCCTGCTTCGATTCTAAAGCATTGAAAGATGAACGTGGGGAGATGACTCTGATCATTAGGAGAAGGCCTGGTTCTGTCCTCAATTACACGATTGATAATCAGCTCTCAGGTAGCTTGGATAGTCTCTTCCTTTATTATGACTCAATTTAGTCCACTAATAACAAGGATAATTTGATTGCTCCTTTATTGGTCCACATGACGCATGTATTCAATCTGTGCATTGGTGCTTTGCCATTGGCTGAATTAGTGTATAACTGTTCTCAAGTTTTTGCAGGTGTTTCAACTAGATTATCAGCTTCTTAGAAGTGACCGGCATGTCCCTTTTCTTTCTGTTCATCTCCCGTCCTTCCTTCCACTTGCTCATCACATGTCAGGATCTTCAGAACTAATAAAAGAGTGCTCATATAGGAAATGTAAAAACTTCTCACTGAAGGTGGCATAGAGGCAAGGGATGTGGGAAACAGGCACCTGTATTTTGCAATCTTTTTGAGTGAGGGAGGTTTGTTATGTATCTACCACAGTGCATTAGGGTAGTAAGAATGGAACTGACAGAATTTGGAGGAGAAAGTATGACTGAATAGTCTCTGGAGGTTGAGGTTTTGGGGGTGAGGAGGAAGTAGCAGCACAGACTAACTAGAAAGGCACAATTTCATTCTGATGCTGTGCTTGACATGGCACCTATGTGATGCTCTATGATTCTATACAATTTCCCAGCTCTCTGGCTGGTTTACCTTGTCACCACAGCACTCTGGATAATCAATCACTGCATTCTCTTCAAGGAAAATGAAACTGCACTTTGCACAAAGATGGGGATTTTTATGGGAAAAAAGGTCCACCTTTTCAAGAAGTTACAACAATTTCCAAATCAGTGGCTCTGACAGATAAATGCTGGAAACATTAAATTTCAGCAAGGTCAATCCTGTTTTTATTTGTTTGATTTCTTTAGCATCACCACTGATTTACTGGCTCATTATTAGAAGTTTGCCACTATGAGTATAAGAACTTCAAAATAAGTAAAAGTGATTTTATTTATTATAATTCCTATTAAACACATTTGAATGATTTATATTTGTTTAGGAACAGGCAAATTCACATTTCTTACAACTTATTAGCAGGTAATGAATTCTGAGCATGACCAAAAAAACCAAACCAAAACAAAACAAAAAACAAAAAAAACAAGGAAATAAAAATCTCCAGACAGCTAATACAATGAAAAACTTCTATGAAAAATAAACTGAAGTTTATTACAGGGATGCAAGAGCACTCCAATATGGAAGTGGGTATATAAGAACCAGCAATTTGGTTCTGCACTAGAAAACAAATATGTAGAGTTAAGGTGTAACCTAAAGGTCATCCCAGAATTGATCCTCATCACTGCTCAAATAAATAAACAAAGCTTATGAATGGAGATCATTGGGTTTTTTGAGACACAGACCACTGTTACCAAAACTGGGCTCCAAAGAATGATACTAATATTAGTATTATAGAAAATTGGATCCATGCTCAAATGCTTGAAAGCTTTTATAATATTAATGCTATTATGAATCTTCAGGGGATGACTACAGTATGTAATCTTATTCTAATCAATTGACTTAAAAAAAAAAAAAACCTCACAACACAAAAACATTTGTCATAGTCCATCCCTTTACACCTGCTGAACACAGTTTTAGAATGACTCTCCCAAGCTCTTTGATTATAGCATTTGCTGACAGGGAGGGCCCATAACATACTTGATCACACAGAGGAAGAATTTTAGGGTTCTTTTCCCCATCCATTCATTTCCTTTCTTATACTATAAATCTGCTTAGCTTTGGCTCTTTGACCTGCCTATGCTTCTCTCCAGTTCCAGTGAGCATGGATATCCCTTGATTAACCACACTAGATTATCAGTCATCCATCCCATGCTTGCATCCAGCTAACCCCTGCCCCTGTGCCTCAAACCCCCCTAGATCTTTTTGTCTACAATGCTCTTCCTATGTCGTGAATCCCTTTCTTGACACATTAGCATATGTGTTACCCACTTTACTTTAAGTATCCTCTTCTGTGCTATGAGAACTCCTTGGATGAACAATTTCAGCCTAGTGTCTAAATGGGCTTTGGTACCACTGGTTCACCATTAAGCTGTCTCAGCCACTAGACTAATATTTTTTTTCATAAAGCCAAGGATCATTCCTTCATATCACTAACACTGGGCCATATAGTTCACACAACATAGGTTATTTATAAATTGTATTCGATGAAGTAATACACAGTACATTCTGGGGGCAGGCAAATACACACACACCTACTCACTCACATACAAGAGTAATCATTGATGAGATCAGTTAGAATGGTGGCTTCCCTTCAAGGAGGTAGATTCTGAGAGCAAAGGGAAGGATCTTCTAGGTGCTGGAAATATTTGGAATGGGTAGCTACTGTATAAAAGCACTGACATTCTTTGCACTTAAGATGCCTGCCCTCAAGCAGGTAAGTGACCAGCCTGCTAACTGGACTGCCACCACCTACTAGATTGTGCTCCCCAACACCCACTCTACCACCCATCCCCACCCACCTCTTCACTCTCCCCATGGCCAGCCCTTCCCTGTAACTC